GGGGGGGGGGGGGGGGGGGGGGGGGGGGGGGGGGGAATATCAGCATTCAGAACATTGGAAAATTGACCAAACTTTTTAATACTGATGTCTGGGATACTATGCTCTTAAGACATTTCACATACAGAATACCTTTTAAAATCTACACTAAGCCCTTTGGGGAGGTACATGTTCTGTCACTTTATATTAAGTTGTTCACCAATTTCCTAGTTATTATTCATTTTCCACAGAGGAGAGGGAAGACAACTCTTTCTAGGTTCCCCCAAAGTTACACTCTTATGTACAGAGACCTAACCTGTACCAGTATTACTTGAGATTTTATCATATTGTGATGGTTTTAAGCCCTGCCGGTACTGAAGACCACGTTGCAGTTGTCCCTCTCCAACCCTTGGACACAAGTAGGGCACAAACCTCAGGTTAAAAGAAGAAATTTAATACAACAGTGTAATAAGCAATCTGAACAACAGCAGTAGCAATGATAACAACAATAAACAGTAATAACAGTAAACAAGACAAAAGATATATAGAGAAATATCGCAATGGTTACAGACAGCTCGCTCGTGATGCTCCCCACGACCAAAGCCACAAAGGAAAAAGTTCCCGCGCTCCCACACCCAGACCTGGAGCCAGCATGGTATGAATAACCCACCTGGAGATCCCTTCCCCCTCTCTGCTGGGGAAACTTAACTCTATCCTAGCTGAACCAGGACATAATCCACCCCTTTATTCTATACCATCTGCATCATGTCTAGCTGCCAAATAGCAGTTAACAATAACAAAATAACAATTAACAAATGTACAGCATAATTCACGGCATGTTCTCACCCTGAATCAAGTCCCCCTGTGGTACACATCGGACCTCTCCATTGTCCTGCATCACCCACCAGGTGCACCCAGGTCCTTGGGCAAAACCAATCCCGTGGATGGGTTTACCTTTACCTTTGCCTGGCGCAGGACTAAACCAGACCATTTTTCCCAATACAATCCTCATGCGCACCACAGGGACTTTATCCCCATCTACAGCACGTGGAGGTTTTGACTGAGCCGGGCCAGCTCAACTGGCAGATCCTCTTGTGTTGACTAGCCAGGGGGCCTTTGCTAGATGCATGTCCCAGTCTTTGAAGGTGCCACCTCCCAGTGCTTTCAATGTGATTTGTAACAGTCCACTGTAGGGGATATGGTAGACCCACTCGATGCCGTGTTCTTCTGCCCAGGCATTTATGAGGTTGTTTCAGAAGTGGTTCCCATTGTCTGACTCAATTCTCTCTGGGGTGCCGTGTCGCCACAGGACTTGGGTTTCAAGGCCCAGGATGGTGTTCCGGGCGGTGGCATGGGGTGCTGGGTAAGCTTCCAGCCATCCAGTGTTACTTCCACCATTGTGAGCACGTGGCGCTTCCTTTGGTGGGTCTGTGGCAGTGTGATGTAGTCAATCTGCCAGGCCTCTCCATATCTATATTTCAGCCATTGCTCTCCGTTTCACTGGGGCTTCACCCACTTGGCATGTTTGATTGCAGCACATGTCTGACATCCGTCGATGATCTCTGCAATGGTGTCAATGGTGAGGTCCACCCCTCAATCTCGAGCCCACCTTATTGTTGCATCTCTACCTTGGTGGCCCAAGGTCTCATGGGCCCACCGGGATATGAACAGTTCACCTCTGCGCTGCCAGTCCGAGTCCACCTGAGCCACTCTAATCTTAGCAGCTTGGTCTGCCTGCTGGTTGTGTCGATGTTCATCAGTGGCCCAACTCTTGTGTACATGGGCATCCACATGGCACACCTTCACAATGAGATTTTTCACACGGGCAGCAATAACATGCCACACCTCAGCAGCCCAGATGGTTTTACTGTTACGTTGCTAGTTGCTCTGTTTCCATTGCTGCAACCATTTCCATACACTATTTGCCACCGCCAACAAGTCAATGTAGAGGTAGAGCCTCGGCCACTTTTCCCACTCAGCAATATCCAAAGCAAGCTGGATGGCTTTCACCTCTGCGAACTGGCTCAATTCACCCTGTCCCTCAGCAGCTTCAGTGACCCGTCTGTGAGAGCCGAGCAACCAGGCCTGTGAAAAACTAAGACAAACAGCCTGGGAAAGCAAAAGTTGAGGCTGATTGAAGATTTGCCTTAAACACTCCCAAGACAAAACCATGAGTCACAGGGTGCTTTCTGTGGAGGCCGAAGCTGATAAGGCTGCCCGATGTATCTGGGGGAGAGAGCCCTGTGGAGACAGGACGGCTCTTCTCTGGGGCACCTGGGCAGATTTCAAGGGCCATGTGTCCGGTGAATGAACTTTGCTTCATTATCCACGAAATGCATATTAAAGTTGACACCCCTCAATATGCTAACAAGGGCTGTCATGATCATGCTAGTGACATCATCCCATGAAACACCTTACCCCTCCCTGTACATGGGATACGTAGGTCTGTGGGTTGACCCAGGGGATGGACCCAAGGAAAGTGGGTATAAATCAAAGGGGAGAAGAAAGGGCTCTCGCTCTCTCTGCCCCTCTCCCTGCCCCCCCCCAGCCGTCTGGAGAGAGCAGTGAAGCAAATAAGACAGATGCCAGCGAAGAAGATAGCTGCCTCCAGGAACCCTCGCCGGCAGGAGCAGCGCAGGAACCCAGACCGGTGATCTGTACTCCCCCATTCCCTCTATCTCCCTCTTTTCCTTCTTTCTGTTAAGAAATGTAAAGCATATTATATTGATTGCCACAGCTTGCTCTGTACTTAGGCAATTATCATGTGTTCAATTAGTGCATTGTAGGTAGTTAATAAATGCTTGAACTTGGAGACTTGTTGTCCGCTCCAATTGGAGATTTGCGAATCTGAGTCACTTGTCCCCCTCGCTGGAGCGGGACGTGACACCGTCGTGTGGGACTCCATACAGCAGCCCTCCATTGTCGATGTTTTCCCACAAGGCGCTAAGACCCATCAGTGAACAGGGCATATCGCTTCTCCTCATCCGGCAGCTCGTTATATGGTGGGGCCTCCTTAGCACATGTCACGTCCTCTTCTGGTGACATCCTGGAATCTTTGCTCTCTGGCCAGTTTGTAATCACGTCTAGTATCCCTGGGCGGCTGGGGTTCCCTATTCGAGCCTGTTGTGTTATCAATGCAGCCCATTTACTCCACGTGGCATCTGTTGCATGATGCGTGGAGGAGGCCTTTCCTTTGAATATCCACCCCAGCACCGGCAGTCGGGGTGCCAGGAGGAGCTGTGTTTCAGTGCCAACCACTTCTGAGGCAGCCCGAACTCCTTCGTATGCTGCCAGTATCTCCTTCTCAATTGGTGTGTAATTAGCTTCAGAGCCTTTGTATCCCAGGCTCCCAAAAGCCTAGAGGTCGGCCTCGGGTTTCCCCAGGTGCTCTCTGCCAGAGGCTCCAGGTAGAGCCATTATCCCCAGCTTCTGTGTAGAGCATGTTCTTAACCTCCTGCACTGCCCAGACTGGCCTAAGGGCTACTGCTTGGGCAATCTCCTGCTTAATTTGTTCAAAGGATTACTGTTGCTCAGGG